TCTACTTCTGTTAGGTTCTTACCGTCTCTGTCTTTTATTGTGCCCATTCTTAGGTTACTTTCCTAATTTCATTGAGTTGCCTGGCTGTGTATTAAGAATACACATAGTTCACTAAACGTTTTTAAGACAATTATTCTTAATTCTTTGCCTGATGTTTAACAGCTTTTCAGTTATTAATTTCCTTGCATGGTGTCAAATATTTACATAATGTTTTATGACCCTTGATTTCTCACACTGGTTTATTTGCGTAAGTGGTCTCCTTTTCCGTCCTTTGCTGATTCACCTTGGCAGAGGTAAGTTTTCACTAGTCAGTTCAGTTGGATTTCTGGGCATGTTTATCAGTAAGGTCTTTGGGCAGGTGGGGAGCTGCAAAGGATCTATTTGGGGCAAGGCAACTGTTTGAGCTCTTAAGGTGGGAGTGAGGCTTGTGCCACTAGCCGAGAAGAGTTGGATAGACTGCTGCTTGGTTCCCTGCCCAAGGGATATGATAGGATGTGCTCCACATTTGCCTGGAATGCCTCCTCTGAGAACCTGAATCAGGCAGACCTGCACCCCACTGAGAGTTCCCTGGTCAGATTGTGCTACGTTCTTGGTTCTGCAGGTGATGCTTGTTAAATGGTCATGACTGAGCTCTTTACTCAACAGTAAGTGGGGCAATGAAGTAGCTTGCCTTGCAGGAGTGCTGGACAGGACCCAAGCAGTGGGTTTGGGGACCAAAATCTGATAAAAGTGTACACTAATTATCTTGGTCATTTGCTCTGCAGGTGGGAAAAGCCATGGGTTGTGGCTCATGGGTTTTAAGCAACACTGTAAGCAGGACTATTGGAGGGGCTATGCATTGTGCTCTGGTTAGGTTCCCTGATTAGGAAGCCCGAAGGAGCTGTGAATTTATTTCCCTTCCTCAGTGCAGTGGGAGGAGCATCTCCAAGACAGTAAGTGTCTCTGTTTGTGGTATTAACTCAAGCCAATCCATGGCCGAAGCTCCCTGGCCAAACAGGGTTGCTTGCTTTACTCTTGAGGTCAGCTCTGCCCTTCTTCCTCTCAGGCTGAGTACTACTGGGTTAGTCAGCCAGTTCCAGGTGTTCTGCCAGCCCTTCGGGCAGATGGGGTGGGCAGTCACAGTCTACAGAGGGCAGACCAGGCTCCGGAGCCTGAGTTCCCTGGTCAGACTGTGCTACCTTCTTGGTTCTGCAGATGAGCAAAGCTGCTGCTTGGGACTACTACTTGGGCACTGCAGATAGGAACACAGACTGCCAAGATCTAAGGGCTGGTTGTTGCAAGCCCCTCTTATCTTATCCATGAATAGTTTTTAGTTTTTCTTTTAGGGGAAATGAAGGAGGAATGAACTGTCACCATCTTGGTGATACCATTCTCTATGACTGCATTCTCAGACTATCCTCAGGGGTAGAAACCTCATGTTCTTTCAAGGTAAATCTGATTTCTAAATATGGCAGAGTCACCTGGAGTCAAATCTAAGAAGTGATGCATCATCATATAAAGCTGTACTATCACTTTTGATCACACACTCCTTTCAAGAATGTGATTAAACGAAACATAGAGGAGGAAAGGAGGCTGTGAATAATATCGAGGATTGAAAGCACAAGCCTGTTTCTATAAGATGGGTACTTTCAACCATTTTGTCAAAAAGCATGATTTCTAGACAGCACTCAAGTTCCCTTGGAAAGCTGTAAATGCATGGAGGCCTGTGTTGAAGGGTAGATGTTTCATCCTTCAATCCCTCTTCATCAGTTCCATCTTTCTTCATTTCAAATGTAAGTTTAGTGAGGATAAGGGTTTATGTTTCATTTACTGGTGTCCTTCGAACACGGCCTGTACTTAGCCCTCATTTAAGTATTTGTATGATGAATGAATACTTGAATATTGGGTTCACAGTAATATTTTAGTTATCAAAAGAACTATTGTGCTAGAAACAATTTTTAAGAACCACCAGCACAAGTAATTCAAGTGGGGATAAATCTGGGAGTATAATGGCTAGGGTTCCTTTGAGATTTAGACAAATATCAGAATTAATAGTCCAGTATCCATTCTGTTTGAGAATAAGTTCAGACATACTCCCAGAGCAGGGCACAACAACCATTCAGTATGCTGGCACAGTCAGTCTCTGAAATGGGAACCTGGGTCAGGAAATCCAGCATCACTTTAGTAAGGAGCTCCTTTGCTGATGGATGAGGTTGTCAAAGCAATCATACACTTGAGTCTGTATTTTTAAAAAAGAAGACTGAACAAGAATAAAACCTGTTTCATCTTCTTACTCTTTCTATACGTACCTACGAGTGGCCACAGAAACAAGGATTGATTACTGGTGCTGGATTCTCTGGCTAAAATAAAGTGCATTAGTTTTTGGCTGAAAATGAGGACTGTCAATGCAAAACAAGAGTATGGACAGTGGATATTTAATTCTACTTGCAGAAATGTCTTTCAATTCTGCTGAGAATAGAAAAGTTAGAAAACAGAGACACATTTCATGTAGCAAGAGCAATACAAAGGGGTTATATAAATTTATTTTTCATATAACAACTGATTAGTTTAGAAAAATTCCCATTTTCAATGTTTAATTCCATCTCTCATTTTTTTAAAAAAATCACTAAAAGGACAAAACCCACACAAAAATACAATCTGTATCTGTTCTATATTTACAGATAACCGGTCACTATTAAGGCACAGATTGGTTAAAAACATTTATTCAAATAATCCAAATATTTTGTGCATCATATAACACTGACAACACCATATACTGTAGCGTCATACTCCCTTCATTGAATCGAGAAAGTGAGAAAAGTACTTTCCAGTGTTTTTATTTTTTTTAGCCACTCTATTTAACCTAAGTTTAATTGGGGGAGTTTTCCCTTTGGCATAATATCAAAGCACTGTTCATAAAACCTATATCCACTCAATACTACAAATTCATTCCATCTTCCTCCTGTTGCAAATGCATGGTGGAGAGTTGGGAAAAGACTCCAAATGACTATTTTGTGGGGGCCAAGATCTTATTAAAGAAATGATAAAAATTTAGAGTATTTTTGCACAGGAAACAAATCTGGAATTCTTATTGTACGCTGAATGTGTGGCATGATGTGTTCATATAGCCGTATATGTCAGGGAGCTCTATGTGCTGATCTGCATCCATGTTCCCCGTGTGCAGGATGATTCCCTTCTGTTTGCAAAGGCAACAATTTAGTTCTACATCCATAAGCAGATACAGTTCCTTTTAGGAATGGACATCCTTTTAGTGCTATTATAATTGATAACTTTATGACAGGCCCAGTACCTATGCCTTCAAGGTAACCAATACTTTTTAAGTGAAAATTTTCTGTGTGCAATATTTCTCTCTTGGTTTTTGTTCTTACTTTAATGATTAGCCAAGTATTTCTTATCCCACATTTGTATGAAAGTCCCCAATTGTTTGTATGACTCTAACGCCTCTGTGGAGAGCACCTGACAGTGGTTTGTGTCCATGCAAAAGAAAGTCTTGAATACTGAACATAAATAAGTCATTACAGTACAGGTAAGTCACCACATTTCCTAACGGGAAAGTTTTCCAACAAATTAATACACTTGGAAATAATATTGCTTTGAAGAAAGAGAGGCACTTAGTGATTGTCTTCATGGATTGAAAACCCTTCATAAATCCACAAAAAGATGTCTGAAAAGACCTAGAGAACAACGTTGCCTGATTTCTTGGACTTTCACAGTATCAAGATTGTTAACAATGAGTTTAGCCGCTTACAGAACAGTCATACTTTTCCTCCTTCAGAACTCTGCGGTCTTTATAAACTGTCACCCTAGATAGAGACTTACATAGACCTTTCCAGTCTCAAGAAAGACTGATCAGTCTACTTCAAGCAGACTGATACGGTTTTAGGAAAGTCCTGTGACCATATGGAGCACAGCTAATGTGTACATAAGGATAGTATTGTATTTTTTTCCTCCTCATGGCAACAGTGCTGTCTTGTCAGATGATTATTTGTCTTTTTTAAATAAAGTGACAGTCTAGGGCTCCAGTTATTGAATGCCATCCATTCTCTACCATAAATCTCTAGTAGATATCAATTTAATCTGTTATGTACTGTATGCTTATAATATCTAAAAAATAAAAGTTTGATATAAATAAGTGTCCTTTAGTGGCAGTATACTAAAAATAGCCCTTTGCCTTCAGACAACCATTAAAATCACTTTAGCAATAAAGGCAGCAGCTAAATATGATGACTGCAAAGGGTTAATATTGCAAAGTCCATTTGGTCTTTCTTTGCTCGCACCTGTTCCAGTGAACTTGGTTCATGATAAAGTATTTCTAGGATGTTGACATAAATGAACAGAACTGGTCCATAACCAAGTGGAGTCACTTTGGTTTCCCAAAGTCACAGAATATCCTGCACAAAAACTAATAATCCAGTACTATTTCAAATAAAAGTTTAACGCAGTCAGAAAAATGTGACTAAATCTGATTTGTACCAATACATCAGGTGACATAAAAATGAGAGAGAGATAATTTCCACAGGACAAGAAATTAGAAAGTGTAAAGTGCTGAAAGACCTCAATAATTATTTTAAAGCAGTACCAGAAAACCCCACTTTGATTATTTAAAAAAAAAAAAAAACCCAAGTACTAAAACAAGCAAAATACAAACAAAATAACTTCTGTGTTTTCTGGCATCCCAGATGTCAACTCATCCTTCACGTTAAGTAAAAAATCAGTGCATATGTTATATCGGTAAATAAAGAGAAAATAAAGCCCTACCCCATATTGCAAATTCTGTCCAGTTGCCATTAGGAAAAAAAACTAATCCACATGTGGCACTTGATATGCTGACATAAGAACATCTCTCTTTTCTTCCCTCTTGGCACAAAGTTCAGGTGTGAATAAGATGCTTTAGTCCTGATACCAGACACCCAGAATGCTGAGGACGGTGTGCAGTGAAGGCCGTTCACAGATCTTCTGCATCCGACTTGACAGAGTTGGAGGGCATGTGCCTGGAGGGTACTGCTACCAGCGGCCACTGACGCTAGCAATGTCTGAGTGATACTGACGGGGTAGCCTCCCACTTGCTCCACCTTCCAGGAAAGAGGTGCGTGTATTTGGCGGTTCAAAGAGCTTTCTTCGGTTTTTATTTAGTTCTGGAGAGAGAAACAGAGACTTATTAGGAACCCAAGGGAGAAGTTCTATAGTCTTCAGGACTTGGCAGAAGAGCTCAGAAAACAGTGATGCGGTAGGTTGTGGTGGGGCGGGGGAGGAAGTCCGGTAGGTAGGCAAAAGGAAAACCTTTAAGTTGACCATCAAGAAATTTTTGAAATTTTTGAAATGCTCAAAATCAAAAGTCTGATATGAAAGGTAGCATGTGTAGCTGAGAGAACCAACAAATCATTTTACTGCAGTTTATAAACTCCCTGGGGAATATGTAATTCTCAGAACCCTTTCAAACCCAAATATACAAAATAGTTTGACCTACCCTAAATGTCCTTTCAGAGGCAAAGGGAGGGAGACCATCAAAGTTGGTGAAAGGTATATGACAGGATGTATTACCAGTGACACAGAACATTATTACAGCTCATTAGACTCATCCATGTCAAACATAGTGATCATTAAATTATTTAAGTCAGACATGAAAAGAGGACCTCATACCTAAACATGAGAATACTGAAAAAGCACAGTGACGTGTTAGGCCACAGCCCAGTGGCTCCACTTACTCCAATGCCTACACTCCTCAATTCAGAAAGAGTTATATGAAGAAATATATCAGTGAGAGGTTTCTTTGATTAAAAAATCAACTTAGTAAAAACAGCGACAGTTAAGGAAATCAATACAATTGAAAACAACCAATATGTGAATCCAGATTTTCAGGGAAAAACTACAAGATCCTGGAATTTAGTTTTAAATAATTTAGTTTTGAACCAGAGTGCTGTTTAGTTTGTCTTTTCCCAACTAAAAATTATTAATCAGAATAGTGAAAAATTGAAGCAGCCTACCTTGTTTATGACCATACAATGCCCTGTCCTCCCCTCCATACACACATTCACAAATCCTCAAGTCAACTGACGTAATTATTACTAATGAATACATACAAGTAAACAGAATTGTCAGACTAGAAAGCAGCGTTTCTGATAGCCACCAAATGCAAATACAGCTGACCCTCGAATACTGCAGATCTGAAGAGAGTGGCTCTACTTATAGATGGACATTTTTCAACAGTAAATACTACAGTATTACAGGGCGGGTGGAAGCTGCAAAGAAACTGTGGATACGAAGGTGACTATAAGTTACATCAGGATTAACGCTCATGTGGTTCAAGAGTCAACTGTATCTTCAGGTTTATTCTATCTCAAATATACGGGTTAAACAGTTCATATGCTTAGAGCTGTTGTCTTTCTCTAGGAGGGTGGTGAAGCACATGACTCAATACCTTTGATAATCTGCATAGTACACAGTACTTCTTCAGCCATACACATGCACACAACCCCATTCTAAATTCTGAGGTAACAGAAAGCTACAGCTTGCTACAGGAATGCTGGGGATGGGAACAGACTCAAGCAGCTGGCAGGGGGTCAGAGGTGGCCAGGGACAGCCATATGGCCAGACACAGTCTTGTCTCCCAAGTTCTTAAAGAGGGACCAAAACCCTTAACATTTCACCCCACTGCTTTCCAAAATGTAACTGACTGTCTCATAGGGGTGATGCAAGAGTGGAGACATGCCCTTCTGTGCACATTTAGGTCTTAGGGGGGAAGAGAAACAACAATAATTTATTACAGCCTACATTCCTCATGTGCTATTTAACTCCTCCTTGAGGGGCAGATAGTATTACTAGCCTCAATTTTACAGGTAAGAAAGTTGCGTTTTACAAACAGATGAAGTAACTTGCCCACGTGGCTGTTGGTGACAGAGCTGAAACCCTGCCTGCCTGATGCAAAGGACTATGCCACAAGCTGCTGTGATCCATCCATTGGGCAGAGACCACCTGAGGTATCAGGAGTACAAAGTTGAGAAACAAGTAGCTCCAGGTATGCCAGATAACAGAGCTTTCCTTCATAATTTATACCAAAATTACTTTTTAAATAGAAAAACAAAGCTTAGAAAATAAAGAAGCAAGGAAAATATTACAAGCAATAGACACATGCAGGCATGCATACAGACAGCTACTGTCTCAAGTTCCTACAGAAACACAGTAGCAATGACATTCCTATTACATGTATCTCATTTTACAAACAATAGATAAAATTTACAATTCAAGACAGAATTGAATATATTTAAAGGCAAACTTATAGGAGAGTTAAAAATAAATGATTCCCCTTAAACACAGCCTGGAAAAGTTTTATCACCTTTAGATAGGAGACCTTCTTTGGCCTCCATTTTCCTTTGGGACAAGAACCCATGAGTCAGGAGGACATTCATTCCCCCACTACAGAGAGGGAAAAGAAAGGAGTTAGATCAAACACTGTTTTCAGATGCTCATGGAGAATAATTGGGCCGTCGAAGACAAGAAATTTTAATAGACATTGAAAACTTCATTCTGAAAAGTCACATCAACTAGATTTTTGAGAGAATAACTAATCATGAAGAATTTCAGCCATTCCCTAAAGATGTAATTTCTAAGAGTACATACATAGAGATATTCCGAGTGTGAAGCAGAGAGAGAAATCTTTTAAGAGAGATTATCAAGGACCAAAGCCCTACTGAAGAGACTTCAGTTTTTGTTTTTTTAAATTAAAAAGCAAGCTCCCTCTTCTGATTTTTTTCAGTAAGCCTAAGGGATAGTTTGAGAAAATACCAACCTTTTTCTTTGAAATTCCAAGGTTCACACAATCCTGGCAGCTCTCAGGATCTTGTTGCGGATCTGAACAGAGTCACAAACTAAAAGAATAGGTCGGGAAATGTTAGATCTACCTGAGGCTGTGGTGGAAAGCCTGTCAATAGGATGCTAAACTTCCTGTCACTTAGTCCCTGTACGTTTAGTTAATAAATCACTACCATACTCAGAGAGAAATCCATGAATTTTCCAAAAATTATGTATTTGGGGGAAAAAAAATTGTTTTCTCTGATCCATCTCTAGAGGAGAGAAATCTCATCTCCTCCTGTAATATTAAAATATGTGTCTTCTAGCCCAAGATTAAAAGCAAACCAAAATCTGATACTGAAAGAACAACTCAATTGTAAGTTAAAAATCTACAAAAGTTTTAAAAAGTAATTTGAGCAAACCCTGTATCTAGCCAACCTATGTAACCACAAGACAAATGTTAAGGCCGCCCTGCTACCCTGCGTCTATCTGGAAGTGAAGTGTCCTGAGACTTTAAATGAATGTCTTTGTTATCAGAGGAACTGAATTGGAAAAAGAAGCTTTTCAATGAAGGGTTTCTCAAAAACTTACTCCTTGCAGAGAAAATGATTTACCAGGTTCAAACAAATGCACTCAACAAAATCACCCTTAAAATAATCAAACACTTCCTGCTGTACAGAGCATTCATAAGGCATCTTATTCAAAGTTTCTAATTCCCTATAAAAGCAAGAAGACCTGTGAACCCCACTGAGAGAGGCAGTCTGCAGAAGCAGGATAAAACCTCAATAGAACACTGAAGATGATGGCTAGAGAAAATATTTTTCTTAAATGAGAACTGAAAACCCCTCATGTTTTGCACCCTACTCCCCTCCACCCCCTGCACCAAAACCGACTTAGAATCATCACCGATGTATTTCAGAGTAAAAAGTACTGATGATCTACCTGGAATCTATGAAAACATTTAGAGACATTTGCTTGTTCCTGGAAGCTGTACAGTTTGGAACTGGGTTGCTGCACAAAGAAACTACTTAATTTTCATTATATAGTCACAGACATTCCACAGACCTCTAGTGAAAAAGTATAGAGTTCTGAAACATACACTTCTGTGGTATAAATGTGCGGCCCCACATTTAGACATGTGGCCCCACAGTATATAGTAAAGTTTCAAGTAGTATATTAATTTCATTTTCAAATTAATAAAAGAAATACAAAAAATATATGAAGTTAATTTGGGTCCAGAAGTAGCCTTCTGAAACTTAACTTTTGGGTAAACAAGTTGAAAACTATTCTACTGCCACAGATAGTTAAAAAAAAAAAAAAAAGAAGAAGAACAAGGGGGAGTACCCTACTAATGATACATACTGTTAAAATTGTAGGTTATCCTCACTGTGTCTGATGATATATCATACTGAAGGACAGATCTTAGAACTGAAAGGTGACCTGACATGATCATCTACTCCAGTCTATCTTCATGGTTAAGAAACCAAAATAAAAGAGGTCTGGAAAGTCACCCAAGGGTGCATGACTTGGAGATGCAAATCTCGGATCTCTTTATGTGAATAGTGTTCCTTCCACTATAACCAAGCTAATCTTACGAGTGAAAAAGAAACCGTGGCCACCCTATGGAGCTCCATCAGTGCAGCTGCTTCGGTACACAGCGGGCAGGGAGACTTCTCAAACTGTTATGTAAAGAGCTCTATCTAAGGAGAGGCCTACCAGGCTGCTCAGTAGCTGAGTTTCCACCCCATTTCAAGACTATTCTGCTTGTATCTGCTTCAGATATTAGGTCTGTATATAAGATTTCCTGTGGGGAGGTTGGTGGGGTTGATCTGCTTCTACAATGCAGTGGAAAAGCAATCTGCTGCTAAAATAAAATGGAAAAGCACTGAGGCTTTTAATTTCATTTGATGATTTGTTTAACAAATGCTGTTTATAAAGAACTTTCACCAGTTGGATGCCACTGCTGTCCTCAAAGGCATAGCCTGCAAATTTGGTGTTTTGAAAAAGTAACATAATTTTCTCATCACACCTAACATTTGGCTTCTGCCCTTACTGTCTCTTTTTGAGAGACTGGCACACATATAAAATTGGCATTCATGAACTTAATCAGAAAATCTTCAATAACCTTATTTTGTTGCCTCCCAAATTTCTTCCTCATATTTCTCGAAACACCTTTTGAGGTACAGTGTTATGACTCTTGGCTTACACTCATATGACTCTTGGCCATTCCTTTCACATGGGAGGTACCTAGTAAACACACAGCACTTTCTCATACACAGAACTTACAAAAGATGCACAAAGGCAGTGGTCTGGGAGACAGACCTTTAGATTTTCTTTCATTCTGTGAGTACTTTCAGGATACTACCCTCTTCGGTGACTCACAAATTCTATTAAAACTTTGGGGAAAGTTAAAAAGCATTAAGACAAGAAATACTGCCAGGTTCCAGCTGTACCAAAGAACACTGTCTTTCTCTCTGCTGCAGTGATCTCAGCTGCTCTACAAGACACGTTTATTTAAAGCATGACAGCCAATCCAGAATAATTACTCATGAACCCAGTGATTAGCGCTTAACACAACTGCAACACAGAGATTCAAACTCCTCCTCCATCCCCATGTTCTGCAAAGGGAAATTCTGGTTAGATCTCTCGGAAGAGATCTGTTTTCAGGGATGACATTTGTCAAGGCAGGTTTTCAGGCAGTGCCTTGGTGAAGGAGTGGGGGTATCCTCAGCATTTGTTACACTGTTAGTGGAAAAACACTTTGAAACCACAACCACACACCTGCCAGGTAGGAAGCAGAACCAGCCCCACTGGCTGAGACCACTGGCAGAGAGTCTTCAGGTTTTAAGATATAAAGAACAGTTATATTCACCTGAAATTGCAAGCAGCATTTTCCTTCTGGCACCAAAAGTCGTAATTCCCAGCTCCTTCAGATCTTGATCTGTGAGAGTGAGGAATGTCTGAAGATCGATCTGTGGGTGAACAAGTAAATCTACGGTAAATATAGTAAGTACTTAGTTCTTCCTCAGTATAAGTTCAACTAACTGCTACACTTACTATGCTCTGCCTGCTTCCAAAGACGAATGGTGGTGTTACAAACACCTAAGGGACAACAGTTAAGTCATAAAAGTGGTCAAATGAAACTGATATTTCTAGCATAAGACTTTGGATAGTCTTATTGCAACAAACTTAGGTCTTAGCATCCTGGAAGTCAAAGCAAAAAGGGAAAATGAAATGGCAGTTTTTCGTGACTTGATAAAGAATACATACCTGTCCCAAAGAGAGAAAATATTTCTTGGTTTTAGATTCTGACTCAGGTAAGTATATCTCCATTAAAAGGGACTGAATAATACCATATAGAGTATTTCTAATTGTGCTCTACATAAAAATGAGAGCAGAATCACAGTGTAACTCAGACCCATGATTCCCTTGGCTCAGTCCAGCTGACCATCTCTGAAAGTGGCATATATGAAGTATTCCAAGACAGAATATAATTGTACTTCCTGGCATCAGCAAAAATGTGTGGAGGGAACCACCCTAGTAATCCCATACTGCCTTGAAAACCATTGGAGGGACAGAAAGGCAAAGGGCTCTGAAGTCAAAGAGGCCTGGGTTCAAGTTCTGATTCTGCAATTACTAGTTGTGGGCACTCAGGGTTGATGATACCTCACAGGGTTGTTTGGGGCATTAAGCATGATCCTAGATATAATGCAGTGTGCTCACCAAAGGGGTAAAATAGTTGGCAGATATGGCTAGCAATAATGTATTCAGACATAGCATCTGAGAAAGTTACTAATCTTCATCCTGCTTACAATATATTAAATCTCACACAGTTACTTAATGGGGGATTCCTGTTAAGTCATATCTGCGTATGAGAAAATATCCTATATGAAGAAAACAGTACCAAATTTCAACACACCTGAAAATATTAAGATACACTTTTTATTCAAATTATATAGCAATTAATTTGAAATTTTCTGTTTTGATTTTGAAGGTTACATTCAGATCTTGAAAATCCCTTTCATTTATCATTTGTAACAGGTCTGGACATCCTTTTTTTAGCAATTCTATCCAGTGGAGACTATTACAGGGATCCTCAAACTCTTTAAAGGGCCAGAGAATAACTAGTTTAGGCTCACCAGGCCAATACTGTCTGTGTTCCAAGTACTCAAACTCTGCTGATTTAGCTCAAAAGCAATCATGGGCAATATGAGGTAACTGAGTTGGTATGGCTGTGTTCCAACAAAATTTTATTTACAAAATTAGGCAGGTCTGCAGATTGAAATAGTTTCTGGTGCCTTGATAATATGACAACATGATTAGAAAGAACCATGCTTAGGGGGTCTTCTCTTTATGTCAGTGCATCATGGCCATGGCTGATCAGTTTGACCAAAATCCATGGTAGGGATGTTTCAGAAGACATCTTAGTTCTGTCTCAGCTCAGACAAAACCCAAACAGTAAATTAGTAAGTTAACATGTATAAAAAGCACATTATATTCTATGAGAACAATCTTCAGTAACATAATTAGGATCATGTCAAAAAACAACTATGGTTATTTATTTCAGATGCTGTTAACATTTAAGTGCCACAAATAAAGATAACAATGATGAAGGAATAAAATCTTCTTAAATATAGAGTTGCTGCCAACTTTCAGGAAAGTATGAATCAAAAGTTAATGTGAATCACAACACTCATTAGGTCTTTTAGCTAAAACTGGTGAAGGATGGCTATGAGTGGTTTTGCAAGCACAATTTCCTATGTCTGCTATCCTGTGTTTACCAGTTGCACTAAGTAAATAAGAAATGACAATTTTCTTGGCAAAAACAAGCTATGAGACTTGAATAAATGTTCAGTGAAAGCACAGTCACAGGTCAATGAGTGATTTCCTTCTAGAAGTCATCATACATACAACCAAGAAAAAGACACCTGGGAAAACAAACACTGACTGACCTCTTGTTGCTGGAAGACGTCTGTGTATTTGCCCAGGCCCAGTTTGCTGAAGAGCTCAGGGAGGTCAGAGCCTTTGAAAGAGCTGTTCAGGTTACAGCCATTGCTTCCTGTCAGCGAGGAAATGCAGTCCATGTAATTGCTACTGCTGAGATAGTGTTCCGCTGAAAGGCAGAGGAGAGACAGGCTTGAAGTGGAAGTGCCCAGAGAGAACATGGTTTAATTAAAAGTTTTAATCACTCAAATATTTCAAATTCATTGTTTTGGGCTGAATAGAGCAGTTGCTACAGAAACAGCAAAGCCTTTACTGAAACATTGGCTTTTCATTAAGGAAATGCTGGTTACTGCTTTCAGGGAGGCTCTTGCCATTTAAAACGGTACACTTGGGAGACAGCAATTCAGCAACAATGTCTCTGTAGTTAACAATCATTAATCATATTCTCCCTCAGCATTCAGAAACATTTGCTCTTTATAATTGATTTGATGTGAATTAAGTGAGGAATTGGAAGGAAGATCCCTAGGACACAATAAGGTAAGGAAAGTTACAGGCTCCCCTTGTATGCAGGCTGGGCCTCTGTATCCACACTTGTGCTTTCCTGTGGTCAAAGAAATTCTGTGATATTACCACATATAAATCCCATTTCCCTCCAACATAACTGGGCAGTGAGGTCATGAAAGGGAGTGCTCCAAAATGAAGAGGAACATGTGAAATGAAAAGAATGATGCTAGAGTTCCTGGGTTTAACTTACAACAGAAACATATCCATCTCTTAGGGGAAATTCTAAGACAGCCATGTCAAGCTTTGTCTGGATTCTCCTCCTGATCTGGTGGGTAAAGATTTCTCCGTATTGTCTGTGGTTCTCAGACCCAATGGCATGCACAATTGGGTGACAGACTAGTGAGCCATACCAAGTACTTGACCAGATACCCACACACTGTTCAAGAGCAGCTTTGGAGAATCTAGCAGAGCTGTGTAGCCATTCCTACCACCCTAATCACCACTGAACTCTCCTCCCTTTGGGAATTCTACCAAAGATGCCGCTTCAGCAGGGATTCCCAGAGAGATGAGGGCAGAGGACACTCACCAAGCTAATAAGATCTATCTAATCTCCTCTAGGATCAATGCATTCACCAAATCTAAGAACGCTGTTCTGTATGGCCACTGATCATTTTCTCTAGTTGTTTTCATCTCCTGGTTCAGAAGTCCTAGACAGGTCTCAAGTGGAAGGAATTTCTTCATAAGGTTTCTCTTTCTTTAAAAAACAGATGTTTTACCTCTTTGGATAAGAATGTATAGGGGAAAGGATCCAGGACCAAAGTGAAGAGGCCCTGAGCCCTGGAACACTCCACCAATTGAAGGTAAGACCCCAGAATCACCAAAAAGATTGAGGAGTAATGACCAGTGCGGTATTGGTTCAAAGGTGACCCAAAGCAGAGTATTATGACGGCACTGGAGTGACCACTGACTGGAGAAAATGGAAGCAGCCTGGCTGACCATGTAACTTGCTGTCCAAATGATGCATTTACTTTCTTTAAGGGAAATAAAAGCAACCTACATGTCCACCAACAGAGGAGTGGATAAAGAAAATGTGGTACATATATACAATGGAATATTACTCAGCCATGAAAAGGAACAAAATTGGATCATATATAAAGATATTGATGGACCTAGAGACTATCATATGGAGTGAAGTAAGTCAGAAAAACAAGTATCATATATATTAATGCATATATGTGGAATCTAAAGCAATGTTACAGATGATCTTATTTGCAAAACAGAAACAGAGACACAGATGTAGAGAACAAATGTATGAACACCAAGGAAGGAGTGGAGGGTGATGGGATGAACTGGGAGATTGGGACTGACATGTATACACTATTGATACTGTGTATAAAATAGATAATTAATGAGAGTCCACTGTACAGCTCAGCAAACTCTACTCAGTGGTCTGTGGTGACTTAAATTAGAGGAAATTCCCCAAAAGAGGAAATATATGTACATGTATCACTGATTCACTGTGTTCTACAGTAGAAACTAACACAACATTGGAAAGCAACTGTACTCCAATAAAAAATTTTTAAAAACAAGAATTACAGTGGAACAACTGGTATAACAGGGATTCCCAGAGAAAACCTATATATTGGTCACTTTGAAAAGGGTGTCAAGAAAATTACTTAAAACTTTTTTGATCAGTACAGTAGTCATTGGCAACTTGTGCCTACTAAGCACCTGAAATCTGCTAGTGGAAATTTAAAAATTTTCTGTGAATGTGAAATAACACCATATTTTAAAGACTTAGTACAAAAATGACATCTTAGAAAGCAGGGAACTAAAATGGATGGGAATGGGTGAATTTCATTCAGATGACCATTATATCTACAACTCTGGGCAAGCATGCCTTAGAAGAAAGGGGGTACCCATCATAGTCAACAAAAGAGTTGGAAACACAGTTCTTGGGTACAATCTCAAAAATGACAGAACAATCTCAGTTCATCTCCAAGGCAAACTGTTCACCATCACAGTAATCCAAGCCTATGCCCAACCATAGATGCCGAAGAAGCTGAAGTTGACCAGGTCTATGAAGACCTACAAGATCTTCCAGAAGTAACAGCAAAAATAAATGTCCTTTTCATCACAGGGGACTAGAATGCAAAAGTAGGAAGTCAAGAGATACCGGCAACAACAGCAAGTTTGGCCTTGGTGTGTAAAATGAAGCAGGGCATGGGCAAACAGTGCTGCCGAGAGAGCGCGCACGCCGGGCCAGAGCGTGCATCGACTTCCAACAGCCCGAGACAACGCCACACACGGTGTCACCAGGTGGTCAACACCGAAATCAGACTGACTATGTTCTTTGCAGCCAAATATGGAGAAGCTCTATAGAGTCAGTATAAACAAGACTTGGATCTGACTGTGGCTCAGAGTATGAGCTCCTTATTGCAAAATTCAGACTTCAATTGAAGAAAGTAGGGAAATGACTAAGGCATTCAGGTATGACCTAAATCAAATCCCTTATGATTATACAGTGGAGGTTACAAATGATTCAAGGGATTACATCTGGTAGACTGAGTGCCTAATGAACTATGGATGGAGGTTCATAACACTGTATAGGAGGCAGTGACCAAAATCATCCCAAAGGAAAAAAAATGAAGAAGGCAAAGTGGTTGTCTGAGTAGGCTTTACAAATAGCTGAGGAAAGAAGAGAAGAAAAAGGTAAAGGATAAAAGGAAAAGATATACCCAATTGAATGCACAGTTCCAGAAAATAACAAGGAGAGATAAGAAGGCCTTCTTAAATGAACAATGCAAAGAAGTAGAGGAAAAAATAGAGTGGGAAAGTCTAGAGATCTCTTCAAGAAAATTGGAGACATCAGGGGAATATTTCATGCATGGATGGGCATGATAAAGGACAGAAATGGTGAGGACCTAATAGAAGCAGAAGAAATTTAAAAGAGGTGGCAAGAAAGCACAAATGAACTGTACAGAAAAGGTGGGATAACTATACAAAAAAGTGGGATAACCACTACATTGTGGTCACTCTCCTAAAGCCAGACATCTTGGAGTGTGAAATCAAGTGGGCCATAGGAAGCATTACTCAAACAAAACTAATAGAGGTGACAGAATTCTAACTGAGCTATTTAAAATCCTAAACCAGATAATGCTGNGATGCTGAAGCTCCAATACTTTGGCTACCTGATACAAAGAACCAGCTTACTGGAAAAGACCCTGAGACTGGGAAAGACTGAAGGCAAAAGGAGAAAGGGGCGGCAGAGGATGAGATGGTTAGAAAGCATCACTGACTCAATGGACATGAATCTGAGCAAACTCTGGGAGACAGTGGAGGACAGAGGAGCCTGGTGTGCAGGATTCCATGGGGCCGCAAAGAGTTGGACACAACCTAGGGGCTGAACAACAACAAAAAGACATTTACATCCTTTCTTACATTGATGACATATTTTGTTATTCCTGTTTAAATGATAATACTTTACAGATGCTGAGTTAAGCAATACATCAGTAAAAGTTTAAAAATATTTTAAAATAAAATACTGTTAGTGATAAATATTTATTATGGTACACAGCTTTTAAAAAAAAATTTTGGTTTTATCTTAACTACTTACAGTAGTTACCCCAGGCTCTTAAAACATCTGACAAAGGCCAAAATACAGTGCTTCTTTAATCAATCTTTTTAAATGAATGAATCCCCTATCTTAACCCTAATCCTTAATTTCAATACAGCTAACTTGCAGTCAATTTTAATTATCTAGTGTTAAGTGAAAGGAAAGGCGATAAGGACAGAGGAGAGGCACAGAGCTAATTTATGTTGGAATATAAAACGGAGATAATTTCTACCCTGGCTATACCTCTGGCACCAGCCTACCTCTCAGCTCCATCCTCCTGTCAGTAGTGGGTGACCTAGCCCAGGACTAACAGGAAGACTTCAGACTGCTATTGACAGTACACATTGTAATAAAAGAATAGACCCTGCTTTCTAATTTGGAGTTGGCTAACACCATGATTTGTTTTTCCAAATCTGAGGCTCTGAAAACATGGCCCACTTGATTGATGGTAACAACTAGCTGTTACTGTTTACTATGCTCATTTAGATCACCTTTCTCCAAGTATTCTTCAAATAGTCTAAGATATGTGTTTCAGGACTTGAAATCCTGAAAAAAGACATTAGGGGTATATCTTGTGATTACTCTGTCAGTTCTTGTCTGTTTACCTATTTATGCAGACATGTGGGTGCTGTTACAGACACAACCACTTGACTCATGCTGAGTCTTAATCATATAAGTTAAAAGCCTATGCTTTAAACTTTTTATGTAGCTACATCTTGTCAACATGAAAAATCCTGCTCTTCACTTTTGGTAGCTACAGGTCACTGGACAGACTTTCTTCTGTTGTCCAAGACAGAATTAATTTGATCACATTCTGCTCAATTCCTTTACATTCTTGCCTTTTCCTCATCATCTTGATGTTTGTGTATACATAACTCATTTGTATATTCATTCTACAAACATTTACCGAGCACCTACTAGTGTCAGACACTGTTAGGCCTTTGAGAAGAAATAACAAATTAAGAAATAAGGCATAGCCTCCTGTTACTGGGATTGTAAACTGGTACAGACACTATGGAAAACAGTATGGAGGTTCCTTAAAAAATCAAAAATAGAACTGCCATACCCAGCAGTTTCACTTCTGGGTATTTACCCAAAGAAAACAAAAACACTCATTCAAAAGGATATATGCACCCCTCTGTTCACTACAGCATTATTTACAATAGTCAAGATACAAAAGCAACCTAAGTGTCCATCAACAGATGAATGGATAAAAGGTGTATATACAATAGTGTATTAGTCATAAAACTAAGTCCTGCCATGAGTAACGACATGGACAGATCCAGAAGGTATACTACTAAGTGAAATAAGTCAAAAACAGAAAGACAAGTACTGTATAATCTCACTTATATGGGGAATCTAAAAAAACAAAACAAAGTGAAAACAGACTCACAGATACAGAGAACAAATGAGTGGTTACTAGAGGGAGTTGGGGAGGTGAAACAGACGAAGGGGATTAAGAGGTACAAATCTCCAGTTATAAAATAAAAAAGCAACAGGAATATTATATCCAGCATAAGGAGTATGGTCAGTAATACTGTAATAACTGTATAGGAGATACTAAACTTATCATGGTGATCATTTCATAATGCTTGCAAATGTAAAATTACTACACAGTATATCTGAAACATAATATTATATGCTAACTATATTTCAACTTAAAAAAAAGAAAGAAGGTATAGCCTTAAAGAATGTTTGGTGCATGGGCCATAAAGTTTACTGAATGAATATAGTCCCTGGCTTGTGGATCTCAATTCTACACAAAGAAACAGTTATGCAAATAACTGTACTTCACTAAGACCAACGGTAGAGTGAAGGCATATACGAAATGCAGTGACAGCAAAGAACAAATGGCCTGCTGCCCTGGGAAAGACAGGGAAGGCTTCTCAGAGGAGGTGACATGCGAGTAATGCAGAACTCTTAAAGGCATGAAGTCCAGAGTTTATACTTGAACATCACACTAAACCAAGTAAATTCCAAGCTGATTACATCTAAAAGTATGACGAAAAGTCAAAGCTCACTTGATTTGTTCTGTTTACGCTTGGGGCTGCCAATAGAAGCTGCAAATTCACTATGACTTGCAGGACCTATTCCATTTCGGTCTCTCCAGTTGTCAGATTCGCTTCCACTTCCCAGGTGCTCACGACTGTTGGACCTCGAGAGGGACATTGATGAACCCTGTAAATAAAGCCAGACAGGGAAATGTTTAATAAGGTGAGTTTCCCAGAGTGGGAGGAACAAAGA